GTATACATGTATAGGAGATACAATAAATTTACGCTTTTTAATTGAATGTTGTCAGAGCTTTTAATCCATTAAAGTAGCTTGATCCCTAAGTTGTTCGCTATTGTAAAAAAAAAAAATAAATAATAAATAAAATAAATTGAGGGTTTCAATTTTATATTACGCCGAAGGGGCTTTTTTTAAGTTTCTGGTTACCTTATTTATTAATACATGTTCTTCGCACTTTAACCATAAATTCATGAACATAATATCACAAAATATTTAAAAGAGGCATCTTAAATTTCCGATACACAATCTCGGCGCGGGGATTTTTTTTTTTTTTTTTCCGTACAGTGTTGCTTGTTCGCTTTGAAATCGTTGCGTTTGTTAATCAAAAATTCGTTAAAGTTTTTTAAAAATATGAAATAGATAATAAAACAAATTTGAAATTTGGTCTTCCGAATGACAGTATTCGATTTACGTAAAAATGATATTTAAGCTTAATTTTCTGCATTTAGTATAAGGCTTTAAAAGTGAATAGTTAAATACTGTAAGATATCCTTCAGGCATCAACGTCTTGCTGTAACGTACGGTAAAAAATACCGCATATTGTCAACTGTTTCTGAAATTTATCTCGAAGAGATGAAAGTCAGGTGTTTTTGGTTTAATTGATTACGGAAAATCACAAGAGGGCTATCTGGCTACGGGTGAGGACTTTCTAAGGGAAACTGGCCCGTATGCAAGTTGTACATGTAGAAAACCACAAAGATGCCCATGCAGTCAGCCCGTTCGCAGAGCTTCGAACTACTGAACTTCAGCTATTTTACCTTTCAGCCGTCGGTGGCCGTCGGGTATTTTTATTTTATTCTCAGTGTTTTCTAAAAGGCTTCATTCGAAAAGGAAGCTCTGATAGAGAGAGTTTGGTTTATTTGGTGATATATATTGAGCTATCTACCTATGGGGAGGAATGCCTTCTTAGAGTTTAAGAAAAACTGGCTAAGAAAATTAATGGCGTAGGGGTAAAATCGCTGAACATTGGTAGCTCGGTCCGAAACTCCAATTCCGGGGAACGGACTGGCCGGATGTGTAAGCCCCATGTGTAACGAGTATACGAGGCAGTTTTCCTTAGAAAGTCCTGCGCGAAGGCATTCCTCCTCTTAGGCAGATAGCCCTGGAATGCTTTGCCATAATCAGATAAATCGATCGAAAGTTATTTTTCGGCGAGTTCCGTCAATCAATTCATTTTGACTGCGGTAAAATTTGCTGAAAGATATGTCTGTTAGGTTAGTTATTTCACTAAACAAGAAAAGAAATGGAATGTTATGCTTTAAAAACTTATTGACAATACTTACTTTGAAAACAATAGCAGTGTTATAAAAGATAAGAAAAGCACGCTTAACTTGATGGTGACAAGCAGCAACGTTGACTTTTCTATAGGAAATTGTTTAGCCCGCGTTGTCCTGTAACGGAAAGGATTCTTTGAAAATTCTGAATGCATATTTTTATTAAATGTTTCTGCGCATTCAAATTTCGTTATGCAGGTGACGTGAAGCTGGTAACATATATCTTGTGTCGGTAAGTAAGCTTGAAAATTAGTGAGATCAGTGAGACAGTACTGATTTATTCCAGCCTGATGTTAGGATAATACATGAGAAACCAAATGCGAGATTGAATGAAATGTTTTGTATCCGTTAATATTCTGTTGTAATTCAGAAGAGGCTTTTACGACAAAATAAACTTAATAAATCTAGCGTGACAGTCATAAAGACTTATACAAAATTCATAGAAAATGTTATTTTGTTCAAAAAAAGAAAAAGAATTATTTTTAAAGGACTAAATTTATTTTAAGGCTTCATATTTTCGCGACTTCTCAATATCTTCCATGTAGAGGATTTTTATCCTTAAACGTACAGTTTACACACACTGATAGTCAAAAGTGATAGTGCAACCCTATCCCGCCGTACAGTGTTGATATGTGACACGTAAATACTTGATGTCATGATGCACGCTACAGAGGTTATCTGCTGTTGCAGTCGATGTTTTCTGCGTATCTAAACATCACAGTTCTCAACTCGCAAGCTGATAAAAATCTCCATATTCTGAAGGCCTACAACAGTCAATAACATTACGAAAAACCCTCGTTAAAGATAAGTATTACGACTATCGGTAAGTAAGCTTACATTTTTTCAATTGTTCTTATCAGGTAACTGCGATTTGTTGACTGAAATTATTTGTCGTTTTCTCTGTCGAGTATTAGCTCTGTACAAAATTTTTTAAAAGAATATATCTAATTAATATTATAAAAATTTCCGGAAAAAACTTGTTACGGATGTTTCAGTAGAAGAGTCATCGCATTCGCCTTATTTTACTGATACAAACGCTAAATTAAGATTAAATTTCAGCACTTTTCTTTTATATACATCCATGTCGTCCCTGGATTCGAACTCGGGCCATTCGGTGCTCCCCTAATCACTGTACCGTCTGAGCAAGCTCAGCCGACCTTAAATACTACCTTCTGCTGTAGCGTCAGGTGTAAGAAAATTTGCCGTTTCTCATGTAGTTTTAAGAAACAGAAAATTGATGAGCGCATTTAAGGAAATCCGAAAAAAGGCCTCGACATCATAGTTTCCCTTGGCTAAAAATATATTCGGTAGCAAATTTATTTCAGAACATAAGTTAGTTAATTACAACACAGCGATGTAACTTTAGAAGTGAATAAAAATGGATGAGTTTACTTTGTTTTTAAGGTCTGCATTAAACTCATTAGTGCACCTTTTTAATTTTTCACTACTTCCTCATAAAGCTACTAAAAAATGAAAAACACTTTCTTTTCGAAAACTGTTTTCTAATAATTAAGTTTAATAATATACCAATGTTAACAGGGGCCCACCAACGGCCGAGCGGTAAATTCGCTGAACGCTGGTAGTTCGGTCCGAGGTTCGAATCCCGCGAACGGGCTAGCTGCATGAGTGTTTTCGTGGTTTCCCATGTTACGTGTTACAGCCAGTTTCCTTAGAAAGTCGTCCACGAAGGCATCCCTCCCCTTAGGCAGATAGCCCTAGTGTGCTTTGCCATAATTAAATACACCACACCACACCAATGTTAACAGATGCTTTGAAAGAAATTTTTTTCCTTAGATCGAAATTCCTTGAATTATTAATCTCATTTATTTGAAAAATAGTTAAATAATGTAAAATACGACTGAAATTAATTTGAAAGATGATAAAATTGACTATGAACTTAGGCGTAATATAAGTAAACTGAACTATTTAGATTATAGCGGAGTATACGGGACCTTTTTGCTTAACGAAGGGATGAACGTCGAGGACTTTTCAAGGAATTCCACATTCACGAATTTCGTATTCACGTGACACGTGGAGAAAACCCCCATGCAACCAGCTCGTTCTCCGAAATTTAAACAGGGATAGAACAACCAGTGTCCAGCGATTTTGGGGCTTCGATGCTGGTGAACTGTGAGATGTAAATAAAATCGGTATTTTTTTTCTCTTAGGTGCGATCAGAACTTTGCAAGTTTTTCAGACATTTTGAAATCTTATACATGTACATTGTAATCTTATACATTGTTTAAAGAATGAGAGTAAATATTTGGAAACGGATTAGGCTTTTCAGGGCGGGTGAATATTAAAAATCAACTGCGTCCTCGGGGGTCTCGAACTACGGATTCACTTGTTAGCTGGTCGAGATAAGCATTTACACCCGCAGAGGACTGGGATAATTCTTTACATTCTTTTGCACTTAAATGCAACCATGTTGGTCAAATCCAAGTAATTATTAATTGGTTTTTTGGATAGAGGAACGGGAAAAATCAACTGTGTTCTCACCGGTTTTGAACTACGGATGTTTCATTTCGTATCCGAACGTACTACCCACTTACATCACGCACGGGCAAATGTGGCAATTTCTTACGAATATAAATAAGAGTAACTGAAATTTATATGACATATGAATCACGTTCATTTTAAATATTGCAAAATTTTGTGCGATAGTGAGAAAAGACTCGTGTGCAGAATTAAGAAAATTTTCACATTATATCGAATTTCTGAAAAACTAATGAACAGATTTTAATCAAACACATTTGATTTAGTAATTTCAAAATATGACTGTTTAAGAAAATTAAAGTTTCTTGTCCAGTGAGTGTACCCATCACAACAGAATGTTGTTGTGACTTCTAATGAAATATTTCCATACTCTAAATCCTAATGAGACATTTTCTGAAACTGCCTTATATTATAAAAGGTGAAGAGAAAAAAAAAAAAAATATGTGTGGCTTGGACGCACTCAGATGATCAATATTTATTAATGTTTAACTATCTTTTTACCCGAAACATTGTGTTCAGTGAAGTTTTTGATTAATTTCATAAGTTGATTTATTTTGTTAATTGTTTCACAAAGTTTGAGTTATGTCATGAAAATAAAATTATCGATTCACCTTTATTTAATATTATTTATTTATTATTTATTTATTATTTAGTTTCGTTTAGTCTTATCGCTAGATTTCAAAATGTATATGAAACTTTGAATTTATTTTCTACTTTTTAATTCTTTCATTCTCATTCCGATCCAATTCAAAAGCCAGTAGCAGACAGTAGAAAAGTCTTTTGCGAATGACAAATACTATATTTGAATATTGGAAATTAAATATTTAAAATTGGGGATATTTTTTGGATCATCAACAGGATTTGAACAAGAATGTTTCAAAATATGAGGTCATCGACAAACAAAGTATTATATCTAATTTTGGAATGGATATTTAAATATTTCATGTTACATGTGTGTAAAGAAGTCCATGTTTCTGTTATTTCAAAAGCATATAAGCATTTTATTTAAAATGTATATATTTTTTAATTATTGTTTACTTCCTCTACAATTCATTGCTAGAATTTTTTTCATTGAAGATTTTTAGCAATCGAGTGACCGAGGAGGTAAGACTGCTGAACACTGTTTAATACAGTCCAGGTTCCATTCCTTTTGAAAAAGCTGGTTTTGTGAAGTTTTCTTATTGTGTAGGCCTGCAAACTAGTTGCTATTGGAAAGACCTCCACGATACTGTCTTTATCAAGGAAGACGAACCTTCAGTGCAGTGACCAAACCATCTACCTGCAATAGCTGAGTGAATAGAACCCTTGTGAGTAGTAACAACCATTAGGTGTTGTCAAACCATTAATTGTTATGGTAAATTATATACAAATCTGAATGACGAGATTTCATGATTTGGTTACGTAATGAATTACGGCGAAGCATGCGAAGATTAAACCCTTGTATCTGGGCTGCACACAAGAGAAACTACCACACGAACCACACATAATATCCACACGAACGAACGTTTCGTTCAGAATCGAACCTAGAATGTAATTACTAGAGTGCAGCAGTTTTATCCGCTCGGTCCCTGGCTGGCTTGGTTCATATGTGAATCATAAAATTTGTTCGACAACAATTTAGTTTTCCTCGAAGTTAAGTCCCCGAAAGGGTACTCTTTCTACTGATTAATAACTACCGAATCCTTTGTTGTAAATCGTGATTAAACTGTTTCAAAATCTTTAAAACTTATTTTCAAAAAGGATCTTTTATTCAAATGTTAATTTACTAAAGATATTTCACTAAAATATCATTTGGATAAAAATACGAAGATATTAATAGCAGGTTATCTCAAGTGGTTAAAACAGAATAAACCAGTGGTTAGTGAGGTGTCTGCCATATGTGAGAAAAGTGCGAATTTTCACACATATAGACATCATTTTTCAATCACTTACCATAATGCTTCTCCCATGTTTGACAGTAATGTCGTGATTTTATTTTATTAATTCCTATGTGAACGTACTGTCCTAAGGTCTTGCACCACTGATTGCCTGAAATATAGTAATTTGAGTTTGGCGCCAAAGATGGCGATAAATGCCGCTGTTTGATTGAAGGCACTTAGATCAGAACGGAGCGTTTTCGCATGAGTAACTTTGTTGTTACTATTTTTTGTTTTGTTTTGTTTTGTTACTTTTGTTTTATTTATTTTTTTATTATTAATGTTGTTTTTGAGTATTCTTCATTTTTAAAGGAGATTCGCTTGCGACAAATATTTAATAAAATAAAAGTAAATTAAATAAAGCAATAATAAAATATTTTTTTCAGACTTTAACAGAAAATTCATTGTGGATTACTTTAAAATTTAGAGAAAATGAAGGAGCATTAAATTTCTGTTTAAATGTTTCTCAGAAAGTTAATTTTAGGTAATGGAAAAGGATGTCTTCATACAACTTTTCATTCATTCTGTTTCGCGCAATTCTGTTGTTGTTGTAACCTATCTCACTTATCTGACAGTAACACAAGAACAAGACCACGAAATTCATCGTCGCGTGGAGTGCAAGATCGTGCCTATCGTTGGCAACAGCCTCGAGTACCGTACAGGTGACAGTACGACTTCGCTCAGTTCCGCCCCCCAGTTTTAATGGAGAGCATCCCGGGTTTTGGTGCGAGTTTTGGTAATGGAGAGCATCCCGGGTTTTGGTCTCCCACCCCTCTTTCTCTTACCACTAACCTCTAGAGAGGATTTCCGCTCGCCGCATATTTAGAGTGACCCCATGCCGCACAGACACTATACCTTTAAAAACATGCATGGCTTCTCCGGGATTCGAAACCGGCCCTTCGGTACCGCAGTAGGCTCCCCTAACCACTGTACCGTCTGGGTGGCTTGCGCAGTTCTGAACACTTCGAGGCTAGGCCAAAGAGGAGGCTTGGCAAGTGGCAACTAGAATGTTCTTCGTCGATTCATCAGTTGCATTAAAAAGTAAATTTTAATTTTTGATCGCACTAAAAGTACTTATTAATTCATAGTTTTGCCTGTGCTGCCAATAGTCATCATAATAAGAAAAAGCTCTTTATTATTTATTTATTTACTTATTATTATTATTTTACATTTTGTTTTAGTGACATACTACCTTACAGCATAGCTTCAGATAATTTAATTATGCGTAGTAAACAGATTGGTTTAACTAGTGGATACGTTTAAATTATTTCGGTCAACAATCTATATTTTCTAGCACAATATTTTAACATTTTAAAATTTCTTACAATCCTATTAATTCTATAGCGCTGCTTTATTTCTGAATTCCTAGCATAGTTTAGTCCTTGAATATTACCTTTCTAACATGTACATAAATGCTGGTTTGCACCTTCTAACAGGTAATCTAAGACAATAAATTTCCGTGGGTTTTTTTTTTTTTTTTTTTTTTTTTTTTTTTTTTTTTTTTTTCACATTTATGGCGTGAATGTCGTTTATGCTAAAACTTAATTTTTTGTTTTTAATTTTTGCTATCGTATTAAACAATAAATCTAACAAAACATTTACGGTATAAAAATCATTTATGTTAATCATTTATCTTTTTAACTTTTGTAACGGTATTTAGTCTGTTAATATTGTGATAATAAGTTTCTCGGTAATAATGTATAGTGGAAGTTGAGTAAGTTCATTAGAAAGATGAAAACTAAATCTTCACTACTTGAAAAAGTAAAGTTTCTTCCTATGTTGGCAATTAGGGTTCTTAAATGTGCAGTCTTTAATTTTAATCTCCCGTTTAATTTTCGTGTATGACCATTTGCATATAGTTTATGTATTGTTTTAATACATCCTTTACTGTAAACTTGCTGCGTAACCTCTGAAAAGAGAAAAATCTCTTTGATCAGATCTAGAAACATTTTTAGATATACTAAAAAATAACTCTCATTAGGTAGGAAAAGATTTGCGTAAATCCTCAGCAGCACATTAAGAGTATATTAAGAGCATTTTATTTTTCATTGTAGAATTTGAATCTTGAACTTAATTTGTACAGTGAACTTAATGCCAAAAGTAAAACGCATTAAAAACCAGCTATTCCTGAATAATAAGCACTCGGTGAAATGCTTGATGCTACAACTAATGCCATAACTATGCGGAGATCAGCATAGAATCTAATTTCAATGGTTAGGTTTATCGCTTTTCTACGTGGAAAGCAGCAGTTGACGTTGTAGCACAGTGAAATGAAGAAATTAGTGCTTACATTCGAAAAGTACTGCGTTCAAACACTTTCAAAAGTGGCGTAAAACAACATGCTGACATAACGAAGCTTACGATAGTTACGATTTATTTGATCAGTAGTCGCTTCCTTCCCATCTACTTTATTACCTATTTTTATTTATTTCTGACTGCAAGTGACACGTATATTTCAAGAAAATCAGGGCGTCATTTTAACGATGGATTAGCGGCTAAAAAGTTCTATCAATTAAAAAAAAAAAAAAAAAAAAAAGAGAGAGAGAACTTATACAGATAAGTCAAAAAAATAATTAGATAACTAAGTTTTTAAGTGAAATCATAAGAGCGATGAAGCAAGCACCATCGACACTTAGTAAGCCACAGACAGTATGGAAGACAAGTTTAGTAATTTTTTCTAATGATTCAGTTCATTTATAAAGAACAATATAGTCTAAAGTTTATTGTTAAAGAGTAATATTCTGTACTGGCTAATTTGTTGCTGCAGTTAAATATTTGTTATAATATATTTCATTCCCTCAAGTTGGAATAAAACACTCAGATTTAATCTTGCATAACTCTGAAGACATGCGTTTAAATCATGCTTAACTGAAAATTTTAAAAAGAACTACGTAGTGTTCAAGCGATAAGTATCTTTTTCCCCAAAAGACACCCGAAATTTTTAGCCAAAATTTAAATAAAATAACATTCAATAATTCATTGAAATTCATTAAAATAATTTTTTAAACAAATCGTTGAGTACTAACTGGTGGACATTTGAGTCATTGACCGCTTCTACGTAATAACTACTCCTGAAGATACAGGGTTATTCGGTTTTTGGCTTGCTGTAGTTGTTGATATCTGTGTGTGTGCAAAGCTATGTCGCCAAACGTGGTGTTCTGGAGGAACCAAGGCCATAATTCACACTCCCACGCCTCCTTAGTCCCAGCTCTTTAGTAGAACTAAGCCTGCGGAACAGTTGACCTTTCCTGTTTCCTTCCTTGTCCGCAAAAAGGGTTCTTTAACAAACAATGGGACCCTTTTTTTTTCTTTCTCTGGCTCCTCGTTTGGTTCATTGGTTGGGTCCCTTCTTCGTCCGACGTTTCCCCTGACATTTTTTCTTGCTTTATTTTTTTCGATCCCTTTCCGTTTTACAGCTTCGCTTTTTTCTCCCTCCTAGGGTTCGCGTGCACCTTTTCTATTATGCTATGAAACGCATTCACATGATACAAATGGTAAAGTAGGATGGGAGAAAAAAAGCCTATAACCCATCTTTTTTTTTTTTTTTTTTTTTTTCATTCACTCTTTTAGAAGTTCCGTTCGGAAAGCAAACATGAAGTGTTGTTTACGGTTCTGCCAGCAGTCCTTATGGCTATACCTGCACGTTTGCAGGTGTGGTCTAGAGTTCGGAAGATTAACTTGTGCGTCCTATGGTTACGAAATATATGGGAAAGGGCTTACTTTTTCGGTGATTTCTTGCTATAAAAAAGGATAAGATATAGAATATATATATAAATGACCTAGCATTTTTCTTCCGTAGAATAAAATATAATCTATGAAGGGAATATTCTGATATATTTGCAATTTTTCTTGTAAAATCACCCTCCCCGGTTTTCTCTCAACTGATGTATAGAACAAAAAATAGAAATTCTGCCATAAACAGGCAAGAATGTTACAGACTAATTTGGAGAAAAGAAGTAAAACCAGCATCGGAATAAAGTTCAAAACAGTAACGGATATAGTACTGAATCACCGAGAGTTTTTCTTTTTGGGGAGTAAAATGTGAGGTATGTTGAATCAGAAAAGAGAATACTGAAGCAATGCATAGGTGAGGGCTATGATGTTGGACGATCCTTGTAGGCTTCAAACCTACTTATGGAATAAAAGAAAATGATTTAGTTCGTGTTCTGTTACACTGTATTCCAGAAATTATATTTTCTAACGGCAAGCATCCTGTTGGATATATTAGAAGATGACCGTTTTGTTTTTGTTTCTTAACCCAGTGATTGTGAGGGAGGTGTTTTCCCTATCTAAATCGCTGTAAATCCACCACTTTCTGGAAAAAGTTACGGAAATTTTGGTAGAACTAAATAACAATGCAAATAATGACCTGCTTTCTCTTCGTCAATACTTCCCCCCTCCTTATGGCTTATAAGTTAATTCTTTTCGAGGTGATGGGCCCACCAGCGGCCGAGCGGTAAAGTCGCTGAACACTGGTAGTTCGGTCCGAGGTTCGAATCCCGCGAACGGGCTGGCTGCATGGGCGTTTTTGTGGTTTTCCCCATGTGTAACGTGTATACGATCCAGTTTCCCTTAGAAAGTCCTCCACGAAGGCATCCCTCCTCTTAGGCAGATAGCCCTCGAGGTTTTGCCATAATTATACACACACACACTTTTCGAGGTGATACGTTTTTGGTTTTACAAATACTTTAACGACTTTAAAAATTACTTTCATATTAATCTTAAGTGAACATATACGCTTGATGCTTCTTTTCAAAATTTAATTAAATATATTATTATTTATATATACTGTAAGAACAGAATAAAAGCCTATTAATTTCATTTCTTTTTTGATATGTTTTATTTTCAGTATTTATTCATAAAAATACGCCGATTTCTCTCATATATACAAGTCAGGAGGACAAAATTTTGAACTATTTTAATTTCTTAAAGCTCCATGTTATATTTATCCCTTTAGCGTGTAAAATATTTAAACGATATATATAATTGTGAATAAATAAAACTGAAGTTTAAATTGCCCAGTTAAGTGTTAGAAGCTAGTCCAAGTTCAAGATGTATGAATGCTGAATATTTCTTTCATTTATAGTGATTAAATTATGTTGATATCATTTATATTGATGAATATTAATGCTTTCGTAAGTCAACAGGACAAATTTTAAGTTTCGAGGAAATCAGATTTGAAATTTTCAAATGAGAATCTTTGGAAGTCTGATAGTAAAAGGTAGCAAAAATTTGCCAGACGTTTAATTTCTTCTCTTTGAACTCTCTCAATGTATTTTTCATGCTGTCTTCGTTTTTTTTTTTTTTTTTTTTTAATAATTGGTATATAGAACAGTTCAAACAAATGCCACCCACAGTTTTAGATAAAGTAATTAGTTTTTAACTACGCAACTATTTCCAAAGAATTAAAATAAATAATATTAAAATTAGGATTAGGTGATAGTTGCAGAACTAAAATTTTACAAAAATATCGTGCGAAGAAAGATGATATCGATTAAGAATTTATAACACGTGATTAAAAATTGTTCTATTGAATATTTTTAAATTATGACTAATTTATAGACACAAAAACAAACTTGTTCACATGTAAAAAACAGTTTTTTTCTGGGTTTCTCGGGAAGTAAAAGATTTCGCATTTTAATTATCACACGAACACCATTAAAACTGATTTTATGACGACAGTATCATTAGCATGATGGCGTAAAAATCGAAAAATGTATATTTTGAACCAAATTCCGTCTTTTCAATTTATATGCCTACTGTAAACTCACTGCGCTTTTCAGCAAAACATTATGAGCTAAAATGAATAATGCTTTAAACTGTGAAAGTGTTCTCCGTCGTTTAACTTTATTAAGTATTCAAATTTCCAGATCCCTGACATTAGCTTTAAGATTTTATGGCACTTTAATTGCATAAAACTGTTATTTTCCTTGCTGTCTCACTAAAATGAGATGTATAAATTATTCTCACCTTAAAATTTTTAGACTTGGAATTTTTTTTTTTTAATGAATTTTCTATTGTAGGTAAAAGACTGATTGATGTGGCTTTAGAAAGAAAGCAAAGAGTGTGACAGGACTCTTGATAGTTTCCTTATTTTGATCTCTTCAGCTAACCATGGGTCGGAAAAAGATTCAGATTTCTCGCATCACAGATGAAAGAAATAGACAGGTATAAATATTATTTTTTTAATCTTTCACAGTATTCCATGAATTAATAAAATATTATGTATGTAATATGAAAGTGTATTTCACTATTTGTTGGTGTAGTATGAAGTAGCAGATTAATAGAACTGCATTTACATGCTTCAGATCTAATTTTAATTTATCAGTCTTAGTCCTAATTGTCATGTATATTGAAACCTTTTTATTTTTTTTTTCCTCTCTCTAACTTTCAAATAGTGCATGCTGAAAAGATAACATGAATGTCAGTCTTTTGAAATTTAGTTATTACGTTCATCTTCACAAATGAAGCAAAAATATCTTACAAAGTGGAGTAGCATCTAGATTTTTTTTTCAAGAAATCCATCCAAAAACGGTTAGCGGCACTTCGGCGCAAATCTAAATCAGGTACATTTCCGCACAAAAATATTCACAAATGTAATCACAGTTTGTAAAATTTAGTGGCACTTCCTCCCAAAGCTATCCATCTTTATTATCTTTCAATAAACTTGAAATGGTGATAGTTCCAGCTCTACGCATTTTGCAGCTCCATGCAGTCTCCAAGGGCCCTAAATTCTGCTACTTAGTGCGTCATTATAGCTTTCAAAACGTTTGCTAACTTTATATAAAAAAGTTTTAAATTCTGAATAAGAATATGAATATTTTTCTGAAAGCAAATAAAGCTTTCGATACAAGCCGAGATCATATACAGGAGTTGTAAAGAATGATGGAAGCGCTTAGACATATGAAGAATTGTAATGAAGACCTAATATGGTATAAACTCATCTTTGGAATTCAAAATTGTTTCAAATCTTTTTGGAGTTGTAGCGTAAGAGTCTGGAATAGTTGTAATAGTTGTTTTATATTATTCTACATGAAACTATTCCAATTCTTTGAGAGGTGCTTAGAGACAAGGGCGGCATCTTATTCTGTTTTCCAGTACAGACCGCAGTTGTTTAATGCTATTTAAGTCTGTTAATTGTGTAGGTAGGAGAAGATGTGTAACTTCATCTACACGTTCTTCAACTACAACTGAATAATTTGACTGGGGAATGAGGACATTGTCATCTTGAAAGATGTAGGTACCGGTAAGAAAACGATGTCCTTGCTGTTGATGGACATGGTCGTTCAAAATTTATTCTTTCTTGGAAGGTGGCAGTTGGACCTGTTGCAAATCGCAATGTAACTGCCCAAGGCATAACAGAACCACCAGTATGTTTCTCTACAGTCTTGATCGTAAGTAAGCAGTAAGTAAGCAGTCTTGATCGTAAGCTTCTGCTGGTGTTCTCCGCACATAAACTCGTTCTGAGGTGGAAAATAGTGTCAAGGTCAACTTATCACAAAACTATACGCTTTTTCCATAGAACAACATCCTATGTTTTATGTTCCTAGCACCACCATAGGCTCTATTATCAATTTATTAGCGTGACTTTGAGATAGCGTTGCTTTAAATATTCTTCATATGCGGTGCCCTTCGTACTATATGTGTCGAAATCGAGTTCTGCATATGCGTATTATGCATATTAAGTAACTTCTTTCGCCTTTTTTTTTATTTACATAGAAATCATTTTAACGCCATTATGGCTCTGTGAATAAATTTTGTTTTGCTCCTGCAGTAATGTCTCGCAAATGATGATTTCCCGAGAATGTTGTATACTGTCATTCATGACTATAGACACAGTACCTCTCAATAATTTTGCAAATGAAGTTACAGATGAGTAAGCAAGTTAAGCACTAACAGTCTGACATCTTTGAAACTCATTCAAGTCACTCATTTTCCTTTACTACGTCACCCTGTACTAAGTTTTACAAATCGCAAATGAAATTTGTAGTTATGCTTACTTTTAAGAATTATTGCGCAATCGATGGAAACAAAATTAACTTTTTTGAGTTAGGAGCTGTGTCGTAAATATTCTTCTAATGCTGTTCGCCTTGTACTGTGTGTGTCGGAAATGGGTTCTGTAGATGCATGTGTTAAAAGGTCAGTAGTCACCCTTCTGGTCAATAGTTTTCCTTTTTGACAAAACAGTTGTCTTTAATGTTCTTCTGGCTCGTTCAGTAAGTTTTGCTGTACTTTCAGTACCTATCAGTATTGACAATTTTACAGCTAAGCTTATAGAGACATCAATGAGCCGGACACCAAGAATTCTCCGTCTTCGGAACTCAGTCAAGTAGCACATTTTTCTTCGCTATAGACTACGTTTTAAATAACTTAGAATATATGTACAATAATCATACAGAAAAGTAATGCTATGTTTCCAGCTTACTGCATAACTGATAGATAGAAACAAAATTCACTTTTTTTAGGTTTCACATAGTATTTCTTTTATTTTGGGAAAGCACTGCATGTAATGATAAATGAAAAGGTAGCTACAGGCCTCATTTCTTTAAATAATTATCCTAGATGCGTATTTCCAAATAAAAATATCTCAAGGTAAGATAAAATTCTTGTTATAAAGACAGTTTCAGCATCTGGAACTGCATATCTATAAAAAGTATCTAATTTAAATAGTATCTAATTTTAAGTAATCCTCTTAGAGCAAAAGGTCCAATTAGTAAAATGTTCATTATGCTTTAAGAAGTTCTATAAGAATTCCCATATCCTTAGTTGCAAACTATCAGTCATTAATTATTCCATGGGACCAGCTATGAAATTAATAATGAGCTGTATTATACCCAGTATAAAATTAATTATTCCCAAACAAGCAATTTTTGTTTTGTAGTTTTCTTTTTACCGTTTACTATTAGGCTCTGAGAAGTATTGTTATTCGTTTCTAATAGCTAACCAAATTCTGCAAGCATGCATCTTTTCAGTATTCGACTTATTAAAGCATGGCGAGCAATTTAAATTGGATTTCTTGCTCGAATTTAAAATATTCACTTTTTTTTATAGGATTAAAGGGCAGCTTTTATATTTATAGAACTCGCATCCCCCTCCCCATTATCAATGCAAAGTAATGCAAATTTTTTAGTAAAATTTAATCGGCTACCGAGAGGCAGATCTTATGTTTACAGAACCCTCTCACTCCAGTGCTGAAACACTTTTCATGAAACTCTCCATCTTAGTATTTTAAGAAACTTCGGAACTCTAATTACATTTCTAGGTTCGAAATCTAAGGAAATAAAAGTCTATTACACTTTTAAAACTCGATATATAATGCAATCAAGCTCTGAATCCCTATTTTTCGCTTAATCCTGCTGCTACGCTAGTAGTTCGTATAAATTCTATGTCATGTAAATTCACACATATGCCCTCGGCTAAGACTCTAAATATATGGCTTTAAGCCGCGTGTACTTTTACTTTTTTTCTAATAGCTTGGCTCAGTGCCCATTCTTACGTAAAATAACATAAGTAAATAACTATATAATTGCATCGGCAGCTTCCATTGTTTTTCCAATGTGGTCAACATTTCTTAACCAAAATTTTTACTTTATGTGTCAAGTCTCTAAATATCAACAAATCATGAAACTAAATTCTGTTTCACAATATACATTGCTTGCATTTTCTCTTTTTTTCTGCGTGTAATGCAGATCTAGTCTATAGTATGATGCAGTTTGTAAGGTATTTTCTCCCTCCTTGCAGCATTCCTTCGTGGTGTAACGGTAGCGTATTCGAGAGGTCCAGGTTCGAGTCTCGGCTAGGGCATTGCTCATTTTTCACATCTCCTGCTTCAAAAATTCCTAATTACTCTATAAGTTATATTGTTAAATATGTAATTATTATAGGTATATTAACATAAACTATGTGCAGGACTTCTTAACTGAAAAAATAAGCAAATAAATCAACTTTACCTTAGATGTATTTAAAATTATGGAGAAGATTTCTTATAGTTAATGAAGAAATTTTTGTGCTCAAATATCTTGCCTATAAACATTATATGTCATTCACTTCTATCCTCCTATATATTTTAAATCTGTTGGTGCCCACAATGAAACCGGACAAAGTCGAGCTGAATATTTTAACTACTAGCATATGCTTTAGTCAGCTGTCATCTCTTCTAAGCTGTGAATTTTTCTCTTGAATGATCATTATAGCATACCTCATCATTTTTATTATACCAATTCCCTGAGTTCTGAATTGTCTTTTTATCCGTTCTCCAATAATCGTGTTTGAGGATCGAACTTAGGCCTTCCCTTATCGAGTCTCTATTTAGTAGATCATGCTGTGTTCAGATTTCTCTTTAATACCTTCACTATTTCTACAAGCCATATAACCCACCAGTGGCTGAGTGGTAAAATCGCTGAACACTGGTAGTTCGGTCTGGGGTTCGAATCCTGGCGAACGGGCTGGCTGCAAAGGCGTTTTCGTGGTTTTCCCCATGTGTAACGTGTAAACGTTATGGCTATGCTGAACCAATTGCCACATAACTCTCCTAAACTACAAATTCGCTCGTTATTTATACTGAACCTAATCTGCATTTGCGTGTTGGCTAATGGAAGAAATATAAGGTACAGAAAATTAGCGTTAAAATAAACATTAAGGTTTCAGCTTAGCCATTTCACTCGAAAATTACAATTCCTTTTTAGGGAAAATTTCAAGGATTACGGATAGCATAAACAGCAGTCGCTTATAATACCATCAACGTACTGAGTTTCAAGATATATGTTTATTTATCTAGAGGTGAGAAAATAAGATATTTCCAAGCACATCGCTTAATCTTTCCCTTTGGCCTTTGAAAAGAATGCGTTTCTTCACGTGAAATAAAGTATTCAACACAATGTCTAAGTCACTTTCTTTTTCACTCTACTGAACATCGTGTTTCAGGCAAATAATTTGATTCGGTAAAACAGGAGTTAATTTTCTTCCATAGCAGTATACTATTCAACACAGTACTGAAAGCAGATTACGTAAGCATAATGCAATATTAGTTTTATTTTCGCTAGGATTAACTAGTAAGGTTGTGTCTTTACATAAATGATGCAAAAGCACATTTTCGCTGCCGCACTTTTGTTACATATTTAATAGATTGTCTGTTAATAATATTTCAGTAGTTTAAAAAATAATTTACA